CTAAGCTGTGGAGTCCTGTGAGCAAAAATTCTACTTTGTGAGCGGCTGGCATTAAAGTTGTGAGCAAGCGATTTGGCTGCTGCATAAATCAGTTTGCTCTAGAGCCCTCCTTCCTGAGCTAAAACAAAAATGTGTGAGCCGGAGGGTAAAGAACTGTGAGCTGGCTCACACTAACTCATCTGAGAGGGAACACTGGTTAGATGCCACCTTGTGCCTGCAGTTGTTTATGCCATCGGCTGTGGGACTTACTTCCAGAGGTCATTTCGAGGGGGAACGCGGGGGAACACAGTTCCCCCGGGTGAGGTGCAGGGGGGCGGGGCACATGATGAAGCCCCGCCCCTGCTTCCGGCCGCCCCGCTTCCAGCCCTCATTCAGCCAGGAGGAGGCAGGAGAAGAGGGAGGGTAAGTTGCTTCCTCCCTGCCTCTCCCCACCCCTGCCTGCCTGGGGCCAGGGAGGGCCTTGGCGGGGCTTCCTCGCACTCCCGCTGGCCTTGCAGGTCCACCGCCGGGCCCCTGATGTCAGGGTGTGTAGCATATGCTAATGAGTTATGCTAATGAGTTCCCCTAGCTCTTTTTCTACGAAATGACCCCTGGTTACTTCCCTAAGCCGCTTACAGGCTACCCTTAAGAGGAAAACAGCACTATCTGAGGTGGAATCTCTTCCTTCCCATCTTCTAACGCAGTGGAATTGAGCTTCAGAAGACATGTTGTTGGAGAAGTATATCAGGCACTGTAGCCATTAGATTAGGCTGTCTTTAGAGGATAGGAAATTTAGGAAATACATTTAATGTTACATTGATTTGTGCCAGTTGGATCTGCAATCGTATTAGACGGTGAACGGCAAGTGCCAATCTGAGACCTGAACCCGCTAAGGGAAAGCATCCTGTTTCGTGAATTCATAAAATGTAATGGTTGGCCTTCCGATTTCTAAAACTGTCAAGTCTAATGCACGGGCTTGACTGTAAGCGTCCATAGTGTTCTTTAAAAACAAAATAATTTAATTGTAGGGCATCTGGCACGAAATGCCTAACATTAGAGAATTCTTCCAAATAGGAAGCTTTCCTGCTGGCTTTGCTAGCTGGCATTGGAGTTGCGGTAGGGCTGTGTTATTGCTGCTTGGGCCTTCTTACCTTATTCATAGCCAGATCATAGCGAGTTGGGTTGTTGTTGTTCAGTCGCACAGTCGAGTCCTACTCTTCACGACCCCATGGACCCCATGGACCACATCTTTTACATTTCGATTTCCTGTCTTCCGTTGCGCTCCAGAGTTTGCTTAATTTCATGTTCGTTGCATCGATAACACTGCCTAACCATCTCATCCTTTGCCGTCCCCTTCTTGTTTGACCTTCAGTCTTTCCCAGCTTCAGGGTCTTCTCCAGCGAGTGCTCCCTTCTCATTTGGTGGCCAAAGTATTTGAGCTTCAGCTTCAGGATCTGGCCTTCCAGGGAACAGTCAGGGTTGATTTCTCTTAGGATGGACTGATTAGATCTCCTTGCAGTCCAAGGGACTCTCAAGAGTCTTCTCCAGCACCATAATTCAAAAGCATCTATTCTTTGGCACTTGGCCTTCCTTATGGTCCAACTCTTGCAGCCATACATTATTACTGGGAATACCATTGCTTTGACCATACGGACTTTTGTTGGCAGGGTGATGTCTCTACTTTTTATTATGCTGTCTAGGTTTGCCATCGCTTTCCTCCCAAGGAGCAGGCGTGTTTTGATTTCATGGCGGCAGCTGCCATCTGCAGCGATCTCGGATCCAAGGATCGTGAAGTCTGTCACAGGTGGCATACCTGGCCAAAAAGCTGAACTGGCGTAGAACTGAGGCTGTTGCTCAGCAGGCTGGCTTCTTTCCCTTACCCTTCCTCTTCACGCTCGTGGAAAGGAAGGAGAACTGGGGCTTTCCGTCTCTGTCTCCAGTGGGTGGACGTGGACTTAGTCGGGTGCCTTTTTATCTAGAGATGTGAAGGTCGCACTGTTAGAGGATAAGTTGTGGCTTTAGCAGGAAGGGTTTTTCTGTATCCCAGATCTGGAAGACTGAATTCCTTAGAGCTCCAAACTCTGTATTTTTCAAATGGATAGGGAACAAAGCTCATTAGGTCTTTCTTTAAAACATTTTTTTCTCCTTTTTAGAAGGTAAAAATGCTACTCATAAGAAGCAGAATCTTCTATAACCTTCCCTGCGTAGGTGTTTTTTTTTTTTTTTTATGGCCCTAGATTTAGTGGTCGGTAAATGAAGCCCTAGGCATACATTTGGGAGGTAGGGCTGTTTGAGCTGTGAGATACCGTTGACCTTTCAGTCTTGACTAAAAGAAAAGTGTGGGTTTGGTAACTTTTAAGTATTACTCTGCATTGTACCAGCTGATTTCATCTATAATCATTACAGAGGTTTTCTGCAGCTGCATAGAAGAGGAGTGGCTGCAGTGTGACTGCATAGATCTTCCCCTACAGATCCGGGACTCATAAGCTCCGGCTGGCCTTGGTTGCCAGCCAGTACTTGGAATTGCAGCCCCCCTGCCCCTCCCCTGACACATGAGAGGGGCCTTCTTTTGCATAGGCCACATTTCAGAAGCTTGAAGTGCCTCTGAAATGCACTGTGAGGTTGGATGGTGGAGAGCAGGTGTGAATCCCTCCTGCAGCTGGAAGGGGTGGGCAGGTAATCTGGGGCTCAGACATTTCTCTGCTTTGTCATTTTTGTATACACAGGTGTACACAATGCAGTTTTGTTGCCACCGTGGCTATTTTGCTTATCTTTATGGTAAGGTGAAGATAAAGGTTTCCCTTGCTTGAAAGTCATCTTTGTGGTAATTGTAGACAAAAATGATCTGAAAGCATATGAATTTGTTTCGCCTACTTCCATGTTTCTACTGCTTTCAGATCTAGTCACTGAAGTTTGAAGGTTGTAACAGTGGTATATATTAATGAAAAGCTACAGTATTTTTTGTGATGTATTTAATTTCACTGGTTTCTATGGTAAGAACATAAGAGCCCTGCTGGATCAGACCAATAGTCCATCTAGTTCAGCATCCTGTCTCACACAGTGGCCAGCCAGTTCCTCTGGAGGGCCAGCAACAGGGCAGAGAGGCTGATGCCTCCATAAGAACATAAGAAGAGCCATGCTGGATCAGACTAATAATCTATCTAGTCCAGCATCCTGTCTCACACACAGTGGCCAACCAGTTCCTCTGGAGGGCCAACAACAGGGCAGAGAGGCTGAGGCCTTCCCCTCGTGTTGCCTCTTGGCTCTGTGATCCAGAGGATTAGTGCCTCTGAATGTGGAGGTTCCCTTCAGTCACCATGGGTAGTAGCCATTGGTAGACTTAGTCTCCATGATTCTATCTAATCTCCCTTTAAAGCTGTTTATTCCTGTGGCCATCACTACTTCCTCTGGCAGTGAATTCCACATTTTAATCAAATCAAGCATACACCTCTTTATACAGCAGTGAATTTCTTCTCATCTGACCCAAAATATGCTTTTTGTTATGTACGCACAAAAGCCAGAATTTAAGTTTAGGTTCTGTTGGGACGTTCAGTCCAATGCTTCCTCTGTTTGTGCACCCCCCCCCTTGGGGCACAGAGTTCTTGTGTTTAATGGCTTTGCAGTCAGCCAAATCAGGAGGACTGCAGGGTTGGGGCCACGACTCAGTGCTAGAGCATCTGTTTGGAAAGCCAGAGATCCAAGGTTCAGTCCTTGGCGTCCCCAGTTATAAAAAGATCAGCTAGGAGGAGAGGAGGAGGAGGAGATTAGATTTATACCCCCGTCCTTCACTCCAGAGTCTCAGAGCGGCTTACAAACTCCTCTCCTGTCCCCTCCCCACAACAGACACCCTGTGAGGCAGGTGGGGCTGAGAGAGCTCTTTCAAGAACTGCTCTTTCAAGGACAGCTCTTGTCAGAACTATGGCTTGGCCGAGGTCATCCAGCGGCTGCAAGTGGAGGAGTGGGGAATCAAACCCAGTTCTCCCAGATTAGAGTCCGTGCACTTAAACACTGCACCAAACTGGCTGCACCAACCTGCTCCAAAGGAGATGTGGAAGGCCCTGGAGAGCCACTGTCAGTCTGAGGAGACATTACTGACCTTGATGGACCCAAGGGTCTGGTTTGGTATAAGGCTGCTTCATGTGCTGGAGCCAGACTAAGTTTCCCAGTAGCCGAGTGGAACTTTTCCTGCCTCCCCCCTCCCCACCGCAGCCACGGATCTCCATGAAATGCTACTTTGAGGGAGTAGGGGAGCCTGAGAAATATTAAGGGGTGGGGTCTGCTGGTGGAATCGGTGGAAACTGCCAATTCCGTCCGGATCCAGCCCTGTATAATCATTGCTGTCCAGATACTCCCCATCTTTCGCATAGATACACGGTAGGAATGGCTGAAATTCCGGTGTTGCATGGCGTACTTCCACTGCTTGCAGAGATACTGAAGACGGTTGCTTGAAATTGTTCTAACGTTAATTTTTGTGTGTTTGCAGCAGTTGGTGTGTGTGTGTGTGGAAATTTGGACATGATTATGTTGTTAGCTGTGGGCGATTAGAATGGTTCCTGTGTTGGTGGAAGTTACGCATGTGCAACTCGGTTCAGGAGTTCACTCCTAGTATAAACTAGCACATCAGTCTTCAAAAGACACAAATGGCACATGGGGGGGGGATCTACATTTTCATGAAGCCTTTTGTTGTCTTCTAGCCTTCCTGAAAAAGTCCATCTTTTGATAGCATGAGGTATGGTACTGAGAGGAAGAGTGTATTGTTCATGATAGAACAGTAAAAGCATTCCTGCTTGTGAGACCTTGGTCATCATCGTTAACTAAATGAATGAACAATGCGGCGATGAGAGCTCTTATAATTGGCAAAAAAAGGACAATACACCTTTTTAGAACTGGCAGACTTTTTGTGCTGTCACGTACATTTCAAGGACTTTGAGTGGGGCCGTCCCTTTCTCCTGAAAGGTGAAGGTATGTTCTTCCTTTGAGCCGTCTAACCGATTCTCTCCCCCCCCCCCTTCCATAGGTTGTGCAGGGCGGCTGAATTCTTGCAGTGGTTGTTCCACGCCTTGGCCATGTCATCGATACTGCCATTTACCCCACCTGTTGTAAAGAGGCTGCTGGGGTGGAAGAAATCTGCCGGCGGTTCAGGCGGTGCCGGTGCCGGTGAACAGAACGGCCAGGAGGAGAAATGGTGCGAGAAGGCGGTGAAGAGCTTGGTCAAGAAGCTCAAGAAGACCGGGCAGCTAGACGAGCTTGAAAAAGCGATCACCACTCAGAACTGCAATACAAAATGCGTTACAATACCAAGGTAAGGCTCCCGCAGTGCTGAAATGGAGTACATCGACTCTGATGTTTTGATTTTGCCGTGGTTTTTGCTTTACATGTATCCTGTTTGAGCAACATCAGTGAAGAATGTGATTCGGTGTTTTTTTACATTGTTTATTTTTCTCAATTGAAACTTTTCCCTCTGCACTTGTTGCTGCGCATGAAGATCTGTGTATGGACATTGCTAACCAGAATTCCTGTTAGGCATGTGTCAAAAGTGTTTGAAGTGGCTAGATGGTAGCACGTCGGGGATCCTTCCACTAACATGTCCTCCTTGAAATGCGAACGAACTGGGCTTTTCCTTGGTCAACACTTCAGTCAGCCAATATTTACTGAACAAAACTGTAAACAATAATGAAACTGGCTGGTTTTGTATAAAACGATGTCTGTTGTTAGAATTGGTGTTTGGCAATTTCAAATTTTATTTCTCGCCTGCCTTCAGAGCCCATATGGAGCTCTCCAGGCAGCTCAGAACAGTTATAAGAAACAATTTTATAAACTTCATCATAAAGCCACCAATTAGCACAATGAAATAATATCTCCTTACCCTCTGCTTGGTTTCTGGAACATCTTAATTTCTTTGCTGGTCCTCTAGTGACAAGAGTAAGAGCGTGTATGCAATAGAGTAATTGGAACTTTAGAGTTATTAAAGCACAGTGATGACGATCCTGCTTATATAGGGAGCTACAAAGTTTTTAAATGTTGCACACAGTGAACAAAGATGGTGTGTGGCCAAGAAGATGCCAGCATGGTTAAACAGCAGAGTCAAGGAAGTGGTTAAAAAAAGGCAATGGATGGTTTTAGGAACTAAATGCCTTGCCTAGTGTAGGAAGTGAACAAGAACAGGAAATCTGGAAAATGTAAGTCTGCAGGCAACCAAAGAAGAAAGCTGACATGCAAATTATTTGGAACTCAAGAACTTATCCATTCTTTGACTGGCTTCCTGCTTCCATTAGTGAAGCCCATTGGGTGGTACTCCCTGTACTAATTACATTCCTCAGGCATCCTTCTCCTACTTGTGCCCTTTCTTAGCACTGTTTGTACAACAATTACTAAGTCGTAGGTTCTCTGTAGGTCCAGCCCTCTGGAGTGGACTACTGGAGTTGGTGCAGATTGCATCTTCACTGGCTGCATTTAGTAGGAAGACATGCTAGGTGGTTCTGTTTTAGGAGGCTTTTGGTGGCGGGCAAGTCGTTTTGGCAGATTCGACTGCATTTTTAATCTTTGTGATTGTGTGAATTTTATTTATGGACTCTTCTGCTTTTGTGTCCTTGTAACTTGTTGCATTGTCCGCCCCCTTAAACCCAAGGAAATATGGTGGGATATAAGTACTTGGAGGAGATAAAAGCAGTATCCAGGGAATGGTATCCATTTAGTCTTGTTGGGTGAGAGGCCATGACTGGGTATGCAGTCAGCTAACATCTCCAGTTAAAAGGAACAGGTGATGTGGAAAGACCTCTGCCTGAGACCCTGGAGAGCCGCTGAATAGACAGTACTGACCTTGATGGACCGAGGGGTCTGAATCAGTAGAAGGCAGCTTCATGCGTGTAAGAACGCGTAAGCTGTGAGGAAAAATTGAATGCATTGTTTATTCCCTCCTCATCTCAAGAGGTTGGTGGCACCATTTTTATCAGAACATCATCCTGTAACTGTCAAGATATAGTCGAGCCGTAGAGCTAAGATGTCACTTTCCAAAAGCGTAGGGCTGTGCAAGACTGTGTAATGGCTAGAGTCAGCTTCCTTCCAATTGAAAGCAATTGACATATTAACTTAGTAAAAAGAAGGCTTATTTATTTATTTATTTATTTCATCACATTTCTATACCGCTCCTTCCTGAAGGCTTGGAGCGGTTTACACATATATTTAATCATCTAACTAGGGCCACATATATTCAGGGGAGATGTATGCCTTACCAGGCACCTTAAGCAGTGTGGATCTTTTTCTTTCTGAGGCGGGTCTTGCTGGAACCAAGCGGTAGTGTCTTTTTTCCGGCGGAGGTCGGTTCTCTTCGGCTCGGCTCCCCTGGGATGGCCCTCCGTGGCGCGCGGCTGCGCGATGAGTCGCACTGGTCTCTGTCCTGCAGGCTCCGACCGCGCTTACGTCACCACGCCTCCACACTGCCCGGACCACGCCTCCACGAGTTGCCTGCCATTTTTGCCAGGGCTTCCGGGACTTTGTGTCTGTTATAACTTGAGTAAGCTTCTAGAACATTTTGATGATGGCATTGAAAAGGAGATGCGTTTTGTTACAAAGCAAAGTCCCTTTGTTTTGCTGTGAAGTTGCAGTTAACTTACAGCAACCCTGTAGGGTTTTTAAGGAAAGAGCCATTCAGAGGTGGCTTGCCATTGCCTGTAGCAACCCTGGACTTCCTTGGTGGTCTCCCATCCAAATACTGACCAGGGCCGACCCAGCATAGCTTCCCAGATCTAAGGAGATTGGGCTAGCCTGGGCGATCCACAGGGCTGAAATTCTTTAGGGATGAGCCACTGATACAACGCTGTTGGCATTTCAGTGAGTTCTTGAATCAGAAAGAAGCTTGAGTGGCCTTTTTGTAAAATGCAGGAAACAGTAGAAATAGCTCTTACATTAAGAGAGGTGAGATATATATTGGAATCGATGCTTAACGTTCTTAAATGCTATGGACTGGACAAAAAAAATGACACCTGCTAAGTACACTGAGACAAACTTTGTTGACTTCTTAATCCCAGTAACCCATCTTGCATCCATGAACTTGGTATGCAGCAACACTAAAACAGACCATTTCTTCTGAATTTGTTTTTTTTTGGTAAACAATTTTTATTTTCTTAGGAATTCAACATTTATAATTAAATCATTTCATCCTTTCCATTGTCTACCCCCTTCCCATTTCCTCCCCTCCCTCCGGTGGCTTCCCGCAATGCTTCCCCCCCTACTCCACGTTACTTTACATCATCAATTATATCATTTTCTTATCATTACAATCTCAAGATAACATCATTTGACTTAATATTGATCTAAACATATTAAGTTTTGTTTCACATCCCAGTTCTTTTCCAGATATGTTTTAAAGTCACTCCATTCTTGAAAAAACACGTCATCTTCTTTGTTATTCAACTTTTTCGTGATTTTGTCCATTTCTGCCATGAACAGAACTTTTTGTATCCAGTCTTCGATTTCTGGCACTTTCTCTGTTTTCCAAAATTGAGCATAAATCATTCTCGCTGTTGTAATTAAGTACCAGAGTAAGGTCTTTTTAGTCGTATTGACTTCTTCCATTTTCAGTCCCAAAAGCAGAATATTTCTTCTGAATTTGTTTGACAGCTGCTCTCACTAAGCTCCAGCTTTTAAAAATTTCCCGAGCTCAAAGAAGGCTGAGTGTGCTGAAACAAACTCTGGGGGAGGTTGAGAAGGAAGGGTGTATTTCAGCAGATGCTATAGTGCCAGCCCCTCAAGTTACTTTTAAACTGGGGATTCAAAAGATGGCTTTGAGGAGGAGGAGGAGGAGGAGGAGGGTTGGTTTAGGTAGTGTGCCTTTCTCTACGCTAAGGAGTCTCAAAGTGGCTTACAGTTGCCTTTCTCTTCCCCACAGCAGGCACCTTGTGAGGTGGGTGGGGCTGAGAGAGGTTTGAGAGAAGGGTGACTGGTTCAAGGTCACCCAGCAGGCTTCCTGTGGAGGAGGAGTAGGGAATCAAACCCAGTTCTCCAGATTAGAGTCCGCCACTCTTAACCACTAGTCTTTTAAACTGGGGATTCAAAAGGGAGGGCAGATACTGAGATGAGGAGCTCTGAGCACTGGGTTAGCTTGCATCTTAGATCATGGCCCGTGTTATGATTTACTAAGCAGCAGGTGTCTTTTGTAATCTTCATACAATACATGGCAGATACCGTTTGATTTAGCAGTTTCTTCCGCACCATAAAAGTGTCTACAAAGCTGACAATTTAAGTCATCATTGAGAAAGCTGTTGTATATTGCATAAATGCTCTTAAAAAAACAACAACAGACTAGGTCTGATAGAGGGGAGACGCTTTTGTAAAACTGCAAATAGATAAAAACACTTTTTCCAGCTACAGGCGGTGGGAATTCAGTCCATAGAATATTGTGATGGATGACATTGTAAATGGTCTTACAGAAGTAGATACTCATGGTGGAAGGGCTTTCCATTAGCCATGATAGATGGAAACATATTCTTATAATCTTTACAAATCTGATTCATTCTGGGTTTCTCCAGATTCATTAATCCTCCTTTCAGGATCATTTAACGTGTTACTCATGTCCAGTGTTCCCTCTAAGCTGAGGTAGTGTGAACTAGCTCAGTTTTTTAGTCTCCAGCTCACACATTTTTGTCTTAGCTCAGGAAGGATGGCTCCAGAGCAAACTAATTTATGCAGCAGCCAAATTGCTGGCTCACAACTTTAATGCCAGTAGCTCACAAAGTAGGATTTTTGCTCACAGGACTCCACAGCTTAGAGGGAGCATTGCTCATGTCTCTAGAGAAGGTTTTACAAGAAGCAGAGGTCATTTCGGGGGGGATAGTTTTACAAGAAGAATCCATTTTTTATCAATACTGATATCTAAACATCTGTATTCTGCTTATAGAAACTCTTTTCATTACTCCCATTGAAGAATCACTACTGCGCTACAGTTCATGAAAAGTTATCTCTTAATTTGTATGGCTTCCTTTTGGGGCAGGGGGTTGGGGACCGTTTCTTAAGTGATACATCAGAAAAATCCAAGTGAATTAGATAACATCAAATGATAAATCTTCGGTTTATGTTCCTTCACTTTCTTTGCAGCTTTCACTAGATAGTCAACTTCAGGACATCATGTAACATTTAATCAGTCTACAGACATTCCAGTTGGTTTAAGGAGCTATCAGATCCCCCAGGGTCCCAATTTTTTTTGTGTCCCACCCTTATGTTCATCAAGTAATCTAGTTCACCTGAACTGAAAGCAAAGTAGGGGTGTGTGTGCCTGGCACGTAATAATCTAGTTTTGTTCCCACA